CCTATAGAAGCCAGGTTTCTAAGAACTTCCTGCATCACATCTCTGTAGAGATTCTTCTGGGAAGGATCCAGCAAAGCCCACTCCTCCTGGGTGAAGTTCACAGCCACATCCTCAAAGATCACTGAATTCCGCACGCCAGGTCCCGCCATTCCTGTGCCCCTGGCGATCCCTGGCCGCACACTCTCCGTTTGGGCTCCGGGGTCACCTGCYGTCCTCACGAAGGAACTTCGGCCACCCGATCTCGTGGGGGTCTCTGGCTGCGACGGGAATCCGTACCCAAGACACGCGACCTGAGGAGGAAGGAGCTGAGCCGCGCGGTCTAGCGAGGAAAGCGCGAGACTGCGGAAGCCTCATTTAGTCTTGTCTCTCTCTCTCTTTTTTTTTTGGTACCCGAGATTGAACTCAAGGGTTCTTAACCACTGAGCTACATCACTAGCCCTCTTAATATTTTATTTTGAGAGAGGGTCTTGCAAAGTTGCTTAGGGCCTCGCTAAATTGCTGAGGCTGACCTCCATGTTCCTCCTGCCTCAGCCTCCCCAGTCAAAGGGATTACAGGTGTGCACCACTATGCCCAGCTCATTTAGTTCTGATTTACATTCCCCTCATGTCTGGTGATATTGAGTATATTGGCATATGCTTATTGGCCATTTGTGTATCATCTTTGTAGAAATGGCTATTCCTTAAGTGAGTTTTTGTGCTTTCTTTTTGAGTTTCACCTTGTTAAAAGACAAAATTATAACAGATTTAGTTTAACAATCATGAATGGGGAGCATCTCATGTAAAGATTTAGATAAAGCCCTCTGATGAGCCGTGTAGAGGAGGCTGGCTTTACAAGCAGCAGAGAGCTGAAGGAAACAGAAAACAAGGAACAAAGTGGATTGATTGTTTCAAGGTTACTTTCCCAATAGGGTTAAAACTGAGTGGACTGCTGCATCCTGCTGGCTCAGGTAGACAGCCCCTTGTGATTGATGGCTGTGCATCTCCTGTTTTTGAACACTATCCTGTTTCAGAGTTCATTTGGACCCTGTGGCACTTAGCAGGAGTGACTCAATTCTGGTTTGATTGGTTTGTTGGGCTCAGTGCAGGAGCTCAGTCCAAATCAACGGCCTCCTATAACTTGTATTTAGCCATCTTTTGTTGTTTCTTCTTTTTTGTGGGTTGATAACCTTTGCTCACTTCTTTTTTTTGTGGGGGTGGAGAGGGTACTAGGGATTGAACTCAGGGGSACTCAACCAGTGAGCCATATCCCAGCCCTATTTTGTATTTTATTTAGAGATAGGGTTTCACTGAGTTGCTTAGCACCTCACTGTTGCTGAGGCTGGCTTTGAACTCACAATCCTTTTGCCTCATCCTTCCAAACTGCTGGGATTACAGGCATGTGCCACTCACTGCACCTGGCCTTTACCTACTTTTTACAAAAATATTTAGGTATGGATTTGTATCTGACAAAGATTAATAATTAAAAAAATATTAATCTTTGTCATATACTACATGATTATTTGTTTCTGTTTTGAAACATGCACCGATTTAAATTTTTATGTGCTTATATCTTTCACTATTTCCTCAAAAATTTTCATATTGATTTTCTGTTTATGTCAGGGTGGGGAGTTGTTTACTAAACATAGTACTAGGACCTGATTCCTCTGTGTGTCCCAGGGGCCTCTGTGGGGCCCTTAGTGCCTTGGGCCATCTCCCAACGGAGGAAGATAGGCATGATACCAACTTCCAGCATGGCCAGACTTTCCCCTGCTGGGCAGTGAACTAGCAAGGCCCAGGTATGGACAGAGCACATACCAACGTACTCTGGAGGAACCTCTGAACAGGAACTAGGGACAGGGGTGAAGAGGTTTTCTTTTTGAAGGGCAGGTGATAAGCTTCTGAGGACTCCAGATTAACACAGCTTTTGGAAGCCCCTGGAAGTAGCCACCTTTCTCACCCCATTTTCTTAGGTCCTTCTGAAAGTGGACCATACTGTTCAGCCAACTCCTCACYCAGGTCCTCTCCCCAGTGCTCCCTGAGGTTCCTGTCTCACCCCATCTCTCTCCTGAATACCACGACTCCATCTGTAATTTTCTTGTAAAATAGCTGTTAGTCAGCTGTCATTGTGACAAAATACCTGAGATAGATAAGTAACATGAAAGAAAGGTTTTTTTTTTTTGTTGTTGTTGTTGTTTTGCTCACTTTCCCAGAGGTTTTAGTAATGGTCAGTTTGTAATATGGCTTTTGGGCCTGTGGTAAGGAGCACATCGTGGGGGAAATGTGTCGGAGAGGAAAACACTCATTTTATGGTGGCTAGGAAGGGAAAGAAAAAGAGGAGGGGCCGTGATCCCYGTATCCCCTCCAAGGGCATCTTCCCAGCGACCCAACTTCCTTGCATTAGGCCTCACCTTCTATAGGGTCCACCATCTCCTGATTCCACCACAGGCTGGAGACCAAACCTTCAACACGTGGATCTTTGGGGGACATTTACGATCCAAACTATAGTAATAGCTTTCTGTGGAGGCAGAATTGTCATGGGAAAGGAACAGGGTAGGTGACTGATGCTTTTCCTTGGGCAGAGTTGTCCCATGGTGGAGTCTCTTCAACATTAAAAAGGTAACGTGCTGTCACAATGGCTATAAGACCAGTGTGAAAGTGCACTGGAGGAGGCAATGTCAAAGCAAGATGGYGAGACATGGAGAGAAAGACAAGAAAGATGCACACGTTTGTTCTCTCTCTGTTCTGAGGCTCGGGCCCCAGCTCTTGGAACCAGAAGGTATACAGGGTCAAGGGCTTTGTTGAAGGATTGACTATTCCTAACCGCAAAGAAAAGAAAGACACAAAGATTGTTTCCTTAATAAATATACTTGTCTTCCCTATCTTACAAAGGCCCTCTCCACCATGAGGCAGGGTATGGATCCACCTCTACCTTCTGTGTTGGGTGAGGAAAGCTCATGCCCTATGGGGAGAATGAAGTTCCTAACTCTGAACCATTTGTTCATATCACACCTTCACAAGGGCAGCCTCAGGCACTGGAGGGACCAGAGTTGGGATGCAGATGGGCTTAAGTAGAAACTAGACTTGAACTCGCTCACTCACTTGGAGACCTTAGGCAGCTGAATCTCTYTGACCTTCCATTTTCTTATCTGTGGAGTGAGGATACTCACCCTCACCCCCTAACAGGATGGTGGTGAAGTTCAGTTACATAAAAAGCATAGATCTTCTCTGTTGGGGAAATTCAGTCAAATGGGGAAACAGAATATACAGATCTCATGATGCCACCAAGGTCAATGTAAGCGGGGAACTGCACAACGTGGTTGTGTAATGGGGGCAGAGAGCTGGGGCAGGAGAGGGGAAGTGGTTTTTTGCAGAATCATGGAAGAGTGGAGTTAGTGGAGTGACTGGAGGGTGGAGGTCTGTGGGCAKAGGATCCACCTGGGCAGACAGATGTCTGTGTGCAGCATGTGCTTTATAGGAGCACAGATCCTGAGAATATGGGAAGTCCAGCTTCCCTCTCACACTGGACTCCATGGGTAGCCCGAATGCCTGACGTGCTCTTCTTTCTTACCCTCTGCCCCTTTGCTCTGGCCAGTCCCTCAGCCTAGAACAACTTTCTTCTTTTGTTTCCTTGGCTAAATCACACTGTCTGCTAGGTCTTGAATTAAGTGTTGCTTTCCTCAGTAAAGCCTCTTTCTCCTGAGTCCTTCCAGTCTTTAAAAGTTTGCTTTAATTGTGGTAAAATACATACCTATAAGATATACCATCACAACCATTTGGGAGTGTACAGTGTTGTGCACCCAATCTCCAGAACGCTTCATCTTGTGAAACAAGCTCTGTACCACTGAACAGCTTCCTGTTCTCCCTCTCCCGGCCCTTGGCAACCACCACTTTACTTCCGTCTCTGACTACTCTGGGGGCTTCGTCAGTGTTCGTCTTTTTGTGACTGTCTTGTTTCACTTGGCCTAATGGCCTCTGGATTCATCCATGTTGTATATTCTTCTGTTCTTGTTACAGGRTGCTCTGACCAGTCCTTTCACATCCTTCCTACCTTACAGTTGTGTAGATATTGAACCTCTGGGTCTGCTCTGCTCTCCACTGAACCTCCCACCTCTAGTTCAGCATGGCTAGACTTTCCCCTCCTGGGCAGTGAACTAGTAAGGCCCAGGTACGGACAGAGCACATACCAATGTACTCTGGAGGAACCTCTGAACAGGAACTGGGGACAGGGGTGAAGAGGTTTGCTTTTTGAAGGGTAGGTGATAAGCTTCTGAGGACTCCAAATTAATACAGCTTTTGGAAGCCCCGCCTGGTATCAGCTCCATCGTACTTCCTCATGAACCCATGCATGAGTTCCCCGCCCTGGTGACAGCCCCAGCTGGTCTTTTCCAGTCTACTCCCCAAAAGTCTCCTCTATAATACTTTCCCATATTACTACAAACGTGGTACTTAAAACTAGAAATTTATTTTGTCATAATCATGGAATCCAGAGGTCCAAAATCAGTGTGTCAGTAGGACCATGCTCCCTCTGGAGGTGATGGGGGCAGATCCTTCCATGCCTCTTCCAGCTTCCGGTGGCTTCCAGTGGTCCTTGGCTCATGTCTCTGTCACTCCTCCTCCTTTGCCTCCTTCTTCACATGGCCACCTCCTCTGTGGGAGTGTCTTCCCCTCTTCTTTCTCTCAGAAGGTCACTCATCATTGGATATAAGGTCTACTTCAGTCATCTCAGATGATCTCACCTGGAAATGCTTAACCTCATATTTCCAAAGACCTTCTTGCCAAATAAGAKCACATTCACAGGTCGCAGGAATGGGACTTGGACATATCTTTGTGGCAGCCACAATTCAACTCTACCCTCCCAGAACCCTGTCTCTCGGCTGATCTGGCTCGGTCACCATCTCTTTGACCAAACATGCTTTTTGTCATCATCTATGTGAGTCATTGTCACACTTCTGTCTCCCTGGCAGCCACCCCCCCCCTTTTTTCTTTGAACATTGAGATTCCACAGGTGCCCCCTGCCTTTTCTCTAGATTCTACTGACTTCTCTAGGAGAGAGGAACTTCCTTTTTCCTGGAAACCTACCTGCCTGCCTGCAGCTCACGGAGTGGTACACTGTTCCTCTGTGGCAGRCACCTTTCCACGCAGGTTGGGTTATCTTGTCAGTGACTCCATGTGGAGGCTGGAGTCTGGAGCTTATGTTCTGCCTCTTCCCTACTCACAGTACCAAGACGTTAGTAGAAACTCTGGAAAGATTTGTRAATGACAATACTTAGAAAATGGGTTTAGTCTTATCAACATAAAGGAAATAGCAATCCTGCAGTCGTAGCTCTATTGTAAGAACAAGTACATATGTGTGGATAGAGGGAGGGAATTAAATTTTTTAAATCAGGGATTGATTAGGGGTTAACTCCAATGAGCTTATGTAACAAACAGGGTTTAAATATCAATAGAAMAATCCCAGGGACATACGGGGTCCAGAATCAAATTACAGGCTGGCTGTGTTGACTGGCAGGTCCTAGTCAAGGTCCTCTCACCCCTCTTTGAGCCCCACCACATCTCATCTGACATTTGGGGTAGTTTAAGTGTCACAAAAATGACCTGGTCTTTGATGGTTTGAGTTTCCAATAAAAATACTGGGGCTTTTCCACAGGGTGGATCTCTCTGGGTATCATTTCCTATTCCTTCCTGTCTGTCTCATTGCTGCCTACTGGCACCCCTTCCCCAAATCTCATGACCCCCCACTCCCCAATATCTCTAGCCTCCCTCAGTTCTCTAAGGCTCTGACTCCAGCCTGACTGGCCTTGCAGTTTGAGGATCTGTCATTATCTGACTGCCTTGGTCTGGCCACGGTCCACACTCCCATGCCCAGTGTGGACTGACGTTCATCAGATCAGCAGCAGGTGAGAGCGAGGGAGGAGCAGAGATTCCCCTGTGAGGGTCCGAGGGAGGCCACAAGAGGCATGTCTACTCCTGTGTGGAGGTTCTGTATCACTAGTGTTGACATTTTATTTTTCAGATTGATCGTGTCCTGTGAAGATGTTTCCAGAACAACAGAAAGAGGTATGTTATCATAAATSTGAATATAAATCACCTGTGTGATTTGACGCACTGTAGGTTAGTGCTTCATTCATTAACAATAAACCTGTGGCTTCTCAGAAGAGGGCCGATGGAAGAATTGATGACCCACCCTCCTGTACGCTCCCCACTCCCCACCATAGGAGCATCTGTGACCTTCATATTTTGATTCCAGTGACAAAGCTGCAGAGGATTTCTGCTGCCCACTGCTTGTCTTGTGACTCARAACTGTCTCCCTCTGGTCTGCCTTCTTGGTTTTCTACTCTGTTGACTCATCCCTGAATGGCGCCCACCTTTGGGAAACAACTGGGGGACTCTGCTATTAGTTTCAGTTTTGCTCTGCCTGTTACCACTTGGACCTTGGTCCTCCCCCTTCCCCCCCAGAGCTCAGGCAAGGCTGTCCTTTCCAGAATGTAACTCCTGAGCTTTTATCTAGGTGTCAAGCTAGCACTTGACCTYTTGGTATCTATAGGAAATTGGCTCTAGGACCCATCATGAATATCAACAACTGAGGATTCTCAGGTCCCTTGTATAAAATGGCATTGTTATAGTTAAAGCTTTGTCCYGGGGTTTCATAAACCACTCACATATAATCGAATCAAGCCTTTATTGAAGCACACTARTGGTGACTGACTAGAACATAAAGCTGTTTCCCTGATCAGCCCTGAACAATTGCAAGGGGGCTCCTTATAAGCCTGAAAACCRCAAAAGGGATRTTCGGGGGTCYAGCCAATGCAAGCAGGCCAGGTTACAGAAGCGGGASAGTGCAGTCAAGCGGCGGGAAGCCTAACCAATCACAGTTAGCCCARTCACCCCAGTTACCCTAGTTACAGAAACAATGCCCCATTAGGTAGTTCCGTGTTCTTAAAGGTTTCTATAGCAAAAGGAAAAGAACTTCTTGCCCCAGTCAAGACCCTTCTCCTTGGCATAGTTGTTTTACAGAATGGAGTCACAAAACAAAATGGAGTCACATTTGCTTTTACTGTCACAGCTTAGTATTTGCACATAACCCATATACATCCTCCCATGTTTTAATCATCTCTACTTATAATGCCAAATGCAATGTAAGTGCTATGTAAGTAATTGTTACACTGTATGGTTTAGAGACAGATGATCAGAGAAAAAAGTCTGGACGTGTTTAATAGAGATGTGGAATTTTCTTATTCCAATATTTCTGATCCATACTTGATCCCACAGATATGGAGAGTGACTGAGTCCCATTGAGAGCCAACTGTACCTTTAATCGCCATTTCTTYTGGAGGTCAGAACAGATATAGCATGGCCCAAAGTACGTGTGGTAATCATGTTGTTAGACTGTCCAGTGGCCAAATCCTGAGGCAAACAAAGTCACTTGGGCAGGACTCCCCAGGTCTAGAGACTACTGTTACCAGTTGCCAGGGAGTCCAGACCTCCTTGGATAGGGTGAGTTCTTTGTAACACATCTGCACAGGCCTCCCAATACCAGGCTGGCTGTCCAGAGGAGTGGGCTTGGGGCTGGGGATATAGCTCAGTTGGTAGAGTACCTACCTTGCATGCACATGGCCCTGGATTCAATACCCAGGACTGCAAAGAAAAAAAGAAGAAAGAACCAGGGGAGTGGGCTCTTGCCCACCACCAGCCCTGTTCCAAAGGCACATTTAAAAGTTTTCTTCCTGGGAGGTGGGGTGAGGATGGCTACCCTTGAAAGCAGCAAAGCGTTTTTTTTTTTTTTTTTGTTTTTTTTTTCTGATTATAAGCAACTTTGGTGGGATGGGAGAGGGCTTGGTTTAATCACTTGATTTCTATTATTGAGTCACTCAGTGAGCTGGGCATGGTGATCCATGCCTAGAATCCAAGCAGTTTGGGAGGCTGAGGCAAGAGGATTGCAAATTTGAGGCTAGCCTCAGCAACTTATTGAGGTCCTAAGCAACTTAGTGAGACCCTGTCTCAAAAGTAAATATAAAAAGTGCTGGGAATATAGCTCAGTGGTAAAGTACTCCTGGGTTCAATCCCCAGTACAAAAAAAACAAAAACAAAAACAAAAACAAAAACAAAAAACCCCAAATCACTCAATGACTAAATACCAGACATCAGTTTTAGTCGCCTACATAAAGAAAGTATGTTTTTGCCCTTGAAAATGCCCATTCTTATAAATATACATTAATATTATCCCACATATTAATATTACAGCATAAAGGAATTTTAAGATGGAAAGTTTTTTTTTAAAGTTATAGAGGGACATATAGTACCTTTATTTTGTTTRTTTATTTTTTTATGTGGTGCTGAGGGTCGARCCCAGTGCCTCACATGTGGCAAGGTAAGCACTTTGCCACCAAGCCACAACCCCAGCCCCAAGATGGAAAGTTTTTAAATGGAAAAGGAAAAAAATACTGCAAGCAGAAAGAGGTATAATGTTCAAAAATTTACTTTAGCTTCTCAGCAAGAAATGAATGCACCAAGGCTAGATCCTGGATGTACTACAATTCACCACCCATCCTTCCATTTCTACATATAGCTGGAATTATCTGACCTCTAATCCATGTTCTTAGAGCAGAGCCAGAACTTGGACACGTGGCTTATAAGCCCTGCAGGGCTCAAGTCAGATTCTTTCTCCAGACTTACCTCCTCCTGCTCCCTATTCCACACCAGGGCCCTTCTTACTCCTTATTTTAGAGTTTATTTTGGAGCCTGAATGCTCTATGCACTCTTGTTGCYGGGATTTTCTCAGATGTTTTCCCCACTCCTGGAACTATCTTTTCCTTCAGTTTCTATAATGTGGTGACCTGTGAACGCCTCCTTCTCCTTCAGGCCTCAGCTTAGAATCAAGGAAAGGCTTTCTATGGTCTCCCTTACCTCCCTGCCTACCCTAACAGCATCCGGTAATCAATGCCTGTTAGACTAGGGGAGGTTTTGGTTGAGCCTTTCAGTATCCTAGTGGCTGATTGTTGTTTAGTGGAAAATAAGTCAGGTTCCGCCTTATCACCCATGTAAGGATCAAATGCAATATTACTGATTGTTGTAGAATCTATCCCAAGGATACAGTATTTGCATAGTTACTCTCCACTTAATACCCATGACAGATATTACTTATGAATCATGAGGTTGGCCTGTGAATTAAGACCTATTTGCCATCATTGTTCAAGATTCAGATAGTCTGACATTCAGATGGTTCTACATAACTGGTAGTGCCAACCTAGAAGTTTGGTGTTTTTTTTTTTTTTTTAAGATTTGGGAAATGCAATCTTTCTTGTTAGAACAGCTTTATTACTGTAATAAAYCTAGGGAGAAGAGAAAAGGGAGTGAGAGTCTCCCTTGTTAGTTAAACACGTTCCATTTGCACATTGGTTTGAATTCCCAGGAGAGCAGTATCTGAGCTGATGGATCTTCSCCATAATAAGGCCTTGGCATTGGGCCATTGTAAAATTAAAATGAATTCAGATTCATTCATGCATGCAACTTTAATTTACAATTAAAATATTATGGTTACATATTTTAATAAGAATAATTAGACGGACTCAACTGAATCAACTCTTGTGTTTAATGAGACAGAACCCAGAATCCAAATGGAAAGGCAGGTGGCTGTGACAGGAAATGCGTTTCAGACAGCATCTTTTGTGGAGTCAGGCATTTTTGCTCTTTTTATTTTTTAATGTCCAGAATGAGCAGTTTGATTTCTTTGCACTCCTAAGGGCCCTGGTCCCCGGCCTGGTGGAAGCTCGTCTTCTGCAATGTGTGAATGAASAGCTTCCTCCCGCAGGTCACGGTCTGTTTCATGAAGACCAACATTCTGGCCTTGAACCTGGTAGGCCTCCTTCACGAAGGAGCTAGGCTTGCTCCTCTCTGTGGGCTGAGACCTGAAGGGTGGCTGAAACCCCATCCTCTGTGTCTTGAGTTCATGRCAGGGGGCAGATCATCTTTGTTCTTCTAGATCATGATGGCTGCATTCTCCTTTAGTTTTTGCTTTTTTTTTAATTGGTTGTTCAAAACATTACAAAGCTCATGATATATCATCTTTCATACATTTGACTCAATTGGGTCATGAACTCCCATTTTTACCCCAAATACAAATTGCAGTATCACATCGGTTACACACTCACGTTTTTACATAATGACATATTAGTGACTGTTGTATTCTGCTACCTTTCCTATCTAGTTTTTGCTTTGATCTTTTTTTTTTTTTTTTTTCCTCTCCTTTTAGGATAAGGATTTTTTTCCTCCTTCAAAATGCACAGAGTCCATACTGGGAATAACAGCAGTTACTAGTTATTGGCACCAACAGTTCCTTGGCAGGAAATACCYTGAGTAGAGCAGGCCTGAATGGGCCTAGGGGGAAGTTCCATGCACCGCTGACCCCACCACTGAGGCAGGAGATAGGGTGCTATGAGGGAGACAGGAGAGATGTGTTGCCATCTCATTTTGGAGGAATGACCTCTAGGGATAATGTTAATGTATTTAAGATATGCTTATGTTGACCTACKGTGACAATTTGGACTTGCTGTAAGAAAGCTGTCTTCACCCTCTACCTGGTGCTGTAGACTTAATCCAGGGCCTCAGACATGCTAGGTGGATGCTCCATCACTGAGCTAYAGCCTCAGCCTCAAAGCATGGTTTTGATATTGGGATACTAATTGTAAACAGACTGGGCTAAAACCAATGAATATCATTAAAGAATAAAAATTATCTCCTYGTGTCTTGTGATACTGAGGATTTTGAAGGGACTCAGCAACAACAACAAAAAAGACAAACATCCTTTCAGAGGGCTGGGAGTGTAGCTCAGTGGTAGAGCCCATCCTAGCATGCACGAGGCCCTGGGTTCAATCCTCAGTGTTAARAACAAAACCAACCAAACAAAAAGCCAGTCTCTCACTCCCTCAAACCTAAATTTGTTCTTTCCTTCCCATATCTTTTCTTCTCTGCCCCTCCCTCCCCTTTCTTCCTCTATCTGTTTCTTCTGGTTCTCAGTCCTGCTGTTATACCCAGTTATTAAGTTTTCCCATTAAAAAAAA